CAAGTAGAAAAATAGGAACCACCTTTGGTGGGAAGGGAACAGTGTTCCGTGTGCCTTTGGCGTTTAGTCATGCTGGCCACATAACCAAGGAGACAGCTTTGGATTTTGCTGGCTCTTTGGCTTTGAAACGGAGATGAGCACACACACACACCCCTTAGCATCGGGAACAACTGGTACACATGTGCAAGGGGAACCTTTACCTTGTATATCTCTTTATTCTGCAGGCTTACGTTGTGCAGTTCATCCTGGCAATATGAACCTACTACAGATAGTCCTTAATGACTCTTCTCTTTAGGCAACCATTCACAGTTACAACAGTGCTGAAAACTAACTTTGCAACAGTTCTCACATTTACACTTTTGTTGATCTGTAAAGAAAAGGGAAGCTGAAGTAAGGTCATAAGCACAGTCGCGATTGCACTAAGAAAAGGACCTAATGTATCAACATGCGCATTTCCCAGGTCTAATTTATATCCCTAAATCACCTTATAAATAAATGATTGTTTGTGGTTGTCTTTGGAAAAGTTGGGGCCATCGTTAACATGCTTGTGCACGGTGGACAAAAGCGATAGTATCTTGGTGAAAGTCTAAAAGTGGCATGCTGTACGGCAGAGTGGTTTTTTCCTCCTGCCACCAAATAGCTTATTTTGCTGCCAAAGCTACGTCTTTGATGTCACGCTACCCAGATTCAAATAGGAGAAACTATGAATGATTCAGGAACACCCTTAGATGATTGTGGGCATACCTGGGAAGACGAATCTCAATGAGTGCAATTTTCAGTAGGATTAGCCGGAGCATCATATGGTCTCCATCTTTTCCTTTCAATTGTTTATTCTTTTTAAGTTTGCCTCAAGTTTTAATTGCAAAAAGTAGTTTCTTTTTTTTTTTCAGTTTCATTCTCATTTTTAACAGTTAATCAACTGGTTGAATGCTGATTTACTCTAACTCCTTGCTGAATTTTAATGTGATTTCTTTGCATTTTTTATTGCTTTATTTCAGAGTTGTGAATTACTTTTGCTTTCCCCATACACAAGTTGATGGCGACTTTTTTAGGGAGTGAAAGCAATCACTCCCTAAAATTGATTTACATTTACATCAGAATTTCACTACAAGGATTTTGTATGCTATTAATTTTTAAAAGCTCTGGTCTTCTTTCTTTTAACCTTTGATGGGAATCTGCCTTTTTTCTATTTACTTTTCATTGTGGAAAATATTAGCTGAATTTTTTCTGTGGTTATTTTGTTATGGTATATTTACTTCTCCTGTCATTGAGGGGAACTAAGTATTTATGTCTGGATGGGAAAGCTCAGCTACAGGAAAGTTTCGGGTGGTATTAAGATTGTAAATAATGCATCAACTTAATGATAAAGCCCTTTGGGAAGCCTTTGAAAAACATACTGAAATTGAAAACTTAGATTAAAAGTTTGATAACATAACTACAGTTTTAAATCAACTCAAAGATGACACTCAGGTACAAGCATCAGCAGTTAAACCAGATTTGCAACCAGATGAATTGGAGTCTAGTTTGTTGCTGGCGGATTTGAAGGAAAAGAAGCCAGCTTTGAAACCTGCAGGCTTGCTGGAGAAAGGCTGAAAGGGGCAAGGAATTTAAAGACTTAGAAATGACAGAATTGGACTGGACTTTCTCAAGAAGATCGATGGGGAGTGGGAAATGGGCATATTATATCTAATCACAAAACAATTGTCAAGAGACACTGCTTTACAACTTGTAGGAGGATTCTTTGAATAACAAACGCTGCAGAGATATTTACAACAGAGATTTATGATCTTGGAGGATGAGATGCAATTGTTGGGGAAGATCCCTGTTAGGTGTTAAGTTAAAAGTTTTAACATTAAGAATCAATCAAGGATAATTGAGAGACTAAAGATAACCATTGTGGTGGTTTATAGTAGATCAGAAGCCGTTTTGGACTTGGTTAAATACAAGTTTAAGTTTATTGTTGGTTTTACCAATTAACTAACATTTTTTAATAAACTAGATAAATACCAGATCAAATTGCATAAACAGATTTATAGAAGTTCGTAATTTGTGGTCCTGTTTCAAGAGGTGGGGAACTATTATTCTTCAAATATATTTATCGATATTCAACTAAGGGAAACAATCTATATGTGTTTTTAAGGCACTTTTTAAAGGTCTTATTTAGTTTTGCTTTGTTTTTGCATTTTTCCCCTTTTTTGGAGTTTGTATTTTAAAATTGTGAATAAAATTAAAATGTTAATACAAAGAGTTACTATCTCAACATGCAGACATAGAAAAATTAAAATGTATAGCAACTTTGCCTGGATAGTTTCCTAATCTGCAATTGGAATGCAAATTAAAGTTATTGCACTTTGTGTTTTATCTTTAATTTCACTTAATACTTTTTTATTTTATACTTCAATCTATGAACACCCTAAATCTTTATTCTTCTGTTCTGTAGCATTGGGGGGGGGGCACTAATAACATAGCTTATAATAAAGTTATAAAATAAAGTTATATTTTAAAAAAATCTAATATTTTAATGTGGGATTACCAGGCTTTGAAATAATAACACTGCTTTAGTTCAGCTTTGAGAGATCGTCCATACTTCATAGGCAAGGATGAGTTCCGAATTAAACTCTAAATTTAGCTATTTGTTCTTCTAATAGATCTTGCACTTTTTTCATTATGAAGGTTTGATCTCACTGGAATTCCCCATGAGCAATAATTACTATTTCTGTAACCTATTTAGCCTTTCTGACTCAGGGGTAAGCTTCCAACCCGAGATTCATTACTACAAAATACACAAAGAGATCCTTCCTCTTTTTTGAATAGATGTGCACTTTGAATAATACAAAATTCCCGCCTGCGTTCTTTACATATGTTAGAAGCTGGATATGTTTTATAGACAGAAGCATGTTCTTGTTTCTTCAAAATAAAAAAAAAGAGGTGGGGAATTCCAGATTCTGTCAGGCTTTATTTGCACTTCTGTTGAAGAGGGGATATATCCAGAGATGGGTTCCTACCAGTTCGGCCAAATATGTAGTAACTTGGCCTGCCACGCCCCCGAACCAGTTCTCTCGGCGGTGCAATAGGCGCCGCCATCTTGTGTTTTGCTTCTGAAAATGCGCAGAAGCATTTTTTTAGTGCTGCACATGCACAGCGCAGCCCTGAGCAAACCGCCAGTAGCAGCAGCTGGAACCCACCCCTGGATACAGATAAACAGAAATACAGCCTTCCATCCTTCCGAGGTGGGTAAAATGAGGACCCGGATTGTTGGGGGCAATATGCTGACTCTGTAAACCGCTTAGAGAGGGCTGAAAGCCNGGAGAAAACCCGAACAACTAGAGACCTACATATATATAAATTTATACATATATTTCCCTTTTTTGTTGATTGATAGAATCAGCTTTGTTTTGAAAAAATACAGTAATTGTCAACTGGATGCATTATTAATGAGACTAGAAAATACATTTATGAAGTTGTTTTCTTGACAGGTGAAGATTCATCTCTCTAGCATCTAGGTTTATTCATCTGTCTTCGTTCTAGGTATGACACCATCACCAATCAGTGGGAGACAGTGGCTCCTTTGCCAAAGGCGGTGCATTCTGCAGCTGCAACTGTTTGTGGTGGAAAGATCTATGTTTTTGGAGGCGTGAATGAAGCTGGTCGAGCTGCTGGAGTCCTGCAGTCATATATTCCACAGACGAATGCATGGAGTTTTATAGAGTCGCCAATGATAGGTAAAAGTAACATGCTTCCAGTTTTAACTTGAAGATGGGGAAGGAGCGATGCGCATGCTGTTGGTTTATTGACAACGAATTCAAATTTTAATGTATTTACAGCAAATAATTAAGAAAGTATCATTTTCTACGTTTACGAAACTTCTCATTAGTTAGGCTAATGGAGCTGGTTAGCACGCTGAAAACCCTCCCTCCACCTTAAACAATAAACATATTGTTATGTTTCCCTTGGCCATTGTAGAAGAAATAATTCAGGACTTGCTTGTAGCACTGATTTATGGGTGTAACATTGCCGCTGTTCCTTCGCTGCTGTTAGTGTTCAACAAAACATGACATGACATGCATATGATGTACCATGAAATACCCAGCAGGAAGACATTAACCACTGGTAATCAAGTTGGTGCATTAGAGCAGGGCAAGCCATCTCATTCCCTAACTCTTTCTATTCCTAGAATCTGCTGAACAGTCTTATGAGGTTTTCCGGTACTCTTAACAAAATGGCGAAACTTAATACATTATGCAAAGAAAACTCCACCCCCTACAAAAGTAATTAATACCTTAGAGACCACAGGTGTCAATCTTGCGGCTTCATGTTGCCGTCATGTGACGTTTAGTGACTTTTTTTTCTGTTCACGGAGCTTGGGCAGGCGTGGCCTGCATGTGATGCATTTGGGCGACGAGCCACCAGTTTGACACCCCTGACCTAGATCTATTACAGTGCCAATCCATGCAGTCGGGGGGGACGGACACACTCGTACTCTGTGCATTTGCAAATAGTGCCCTCAGAAAAGTATCAAAAATATTAGGAAAGGACTTCTATGCTTCCTCAAATAAAGGTAGCTAATTGACAAATGTCTACATAATCATCAAGGAGGAATATTAATTGAAGCTGTTGTTATTTTGATTTGGTCTAAAAATAGAATGTTTGAGTGACAGTTTTTAAAGAAATGGAGAGTATAGATTTCATTATGATGTTAAAAAAAAATTGGAGTAGATACTTGTAGAGATAATTGAGCAGATACTTGTATGGATAAGACAAATTCTCTTACTCAACATTTGTTACCATTTACAATTGAGTCTAAAACCATGACAGTATTTGAGGGAAAAGGAAAATCTTCTGAAATGAGGGGTTCAGTCACAAATTTTCCATAGTGCTTTTAAACGTGCTTTTGGAGATTATCCATCTGCCTTGCTGCCTTTTTCCTAAAGTTACTGTGCATGAAAAATGTTTTATATTCAATTATCGTTTGAAATACATACAGGTGGGGTGTTGTTATTGTTGTTTTTTGCATCCTCAAGAGTTTATATTGTTAATAGGTTCAGTTTCCCCTTTTTGCTTCAGCGAATTCCTATTCTGCAGCCAAAACAAGATAGTAAAGTAATCCTGGTTGTCTGCTCTGTTTTGGTCTTGAGATTTCTTCTGGATCATTGTCCTGATGTGATATGAGGTCAGCCCAAGTTGACTTCACTAAATGGCAATCTGGTAAAAAGACAACTGGAGTGCTCTTTCTTAGTTTATTTTTAGAATCCTTTTGACAACGCAACCAGTCCTTGTTGCTAAAACACAAGTGAGAACTTCATTATTCAAAGTAGTTCTTATGTCCTATTAAGCTTTAGATTTTTATTTGGGGGCAAGAAGGAAGCAATGTTTAAGTCTTATCTCAATAACAGTCCATAGAATATCAATAGGAATCCTTCACACACACACACACACACACACACACACACACACACACACACACACCCTGCAAATTGTTCTTTGTAAGAGCTGATCAAGTCTTTTAAAGATTTTAAGAAAATAATAGATTTGCAAAATCATAGTTAAGATAATTATTGATTAGTATACACTACTTTTGTTTGGAAGGGCTAAAATATTTCACAAATGCAAAGTTGAAGTGCATTTTTCTGGTTGCTACTCATGGTAGTATAATAATGATGAGAAATTTTGGGACTAACCTAGACTGATTGCACGGGATAGGAAAGCTTTTTTTACTATGCAGGTGGTCCATGTTTAGCAACTG